AAACGAAATAATAATTTGATTTAACTAAGAGTTTTTATTTATTCCCGATTTGTAAAAAATCCATACGTGATAGAAAAAAAATTAATATTATTTTCGAAATTTGCGTAGCTGAGTTATGGAAAACCCGTTATTAAAACCAAAACAACTTTTATGAAGTTTAAATTCGCAGGCCTGTGTAATTTTTGGTAGGAAATAGGGTTAACTATTATACATACATATATATATATATATTATTTATCGTTATTGTTTGTACACGAACTGTTATGTTTGCCAGGTCTAACTTGTAACTGTGTTTCTGTAATTTGAAACAAATTTTTATTCGTTTTCCCGAATTCTTTAATTGATGATCTAGTAGAGTGTATTCATCATCTATATTACCATTCTTCGCCAGTTTCCTGCCGCCAGGGCCCGGCATGGCCTGGTGATTAGGGCGCTCGACTCGCAATCTGAGGATCGCGGGTTCGAATCCCCATCCCACCAAACATGTTCGCCCTTTCAGCCGTGGGGATGCTATAATGTGACGGTCAATCCTACTATTTGTTGGTAAGGAGTAGCCAAAGAGTTGGAGAAGGGTGATGTTGATTAGCTGTCTTCCCTCTAGTCTACCACATGAAGAGCCCCCCAGTGGCACAGCAGTATGTATGCGGACTTACAATGGTAGAAACCAGGTTTCGATACCCGTGGTGGGCAGAGCACAGATAGCCCATTGTGTAGCTTTGTGCTTAACTTCAAACAAGTAAACAAACAAACGAAAACACTTGAAGATTAGTGACGGCTAATGCAGATAGCACTCGAGTACCTTTGCGCAAAATTCAACCAACAAATCGTTTTGTGAAAAATAATGTAAATTAAGAATTCAAGCTACTTACATGGTTCCGTTGGATATTTCAAAACCGTATATGTAAATAAGTTTTATACCACAAAAACAAGACATATATAAATTTCGAGGCAAATTCGAACAATCTGAGTCGATTTCGAGAATATGTAATTTAATCACATTTTATTTTTTTGTGTTAGGTTGTTTTATATAGCTTGGAAACATTTTCGTATTATGTCAATTGTTAAAATTAAATTAAGACAGTTATTAAAATTATAATCTGAAAAAACGATTATACAGATAATAAGTTTAATAAATATGAAGATATAAAAATTTGGAGAAATTGTTTTCAGGAATTTGGATATTTTCTCTCTTTTTGTTTTCAAGTAACAGTGCTTGTGGTAACTAATTTATTTCTTTAAATATTCTATATGTTTCTTCAGAGTTATTAGCTTTAAAAGTGATGTTTTCCCTCACCTAAGTCTATTTCAAAATTTGTTACAATTTTTTAAATTTATTTTATAGAATATCGTATTGATTGAAATCACGAAATCATTGATTCAAAAAACTTGTGGTCTTTGTGGCCGTTACGATGACGTCATCAATAATGATCTTGAAATGACTGATGGGACAATTGCCAGGGATCCGGTTACATTTGGAAATAGTTGGAAAGTACCAATTGATACTGAAGGCGAGTTCAGTCTTTTTCCTTTTCCACAACATCAGCTAATTTTTTTTTTTGAAATATTGATTCCTTCATTGTGTACTTGATGAATAACACATTTAATATTTTACTCTTTACAAACAATTCATAATACTCATTATTTTCTGCGGCTGTTTACCAGAAGTATAAGATAACTGTTTTTATTATTCTTTGATAGGTTCTTTAGGCAGAGGATTAATTATTAGTATATTGGAATAGACGGCAACTTCCTGTTGTAGAAAAAAAACACAAGTGTAGAGGGCGACGTTTCGAAAGACGGAAGACTTTCAAAACGTCGTCATCTACACTTGTGTTTATATTATTGTTGTTTTTATTGAATTTGGGATCGGCCGCTTCCAATGTTTATAGTTGTTTAATGTAAATTTAATATACTGTATTTGGCATTTTGCGGATTACATCTGCCCAGATGGGGTTTCGATCTGTGTGTTGAAGTGTTAAGGATCTGACGAAGGCCTCAGCACAGAAACCGAAACGTCGTCCATTCAAGCACTTCACGGAAACTTCAAATTTCGTACAACATGCTTTGCGAAAAACTCCTCAAAAACAATATTTATACCTTTTTATTCAGGACAAGAATGTGATGACCCAGTGGCCGAGAGAAAGTCCTGTCATTATAACACTGTTAGCAGCAGAGAACAATCTGAACGAGCCACGGAAAAATGTTTCTCCATTTTTGACAAACGATTTGATACTTGCCACAAGGTACGTTGGTTAATTAAATTACATTAAATTAAATTTCGCCTTTTATTAAAATTATGCATGTTTCCAAATAAACAATCCAAAAGAAATTCAGGATATATATATATATATGGTATTTGGAATATTTTTGGAATCTCCACTCAAAATGTTATTTTTTTTTGTTTAAAAAAAGAAGAAAGATTTTAGGGAGGGAAGAGTGACGGCCCCCAGAGCTCGCGAAGGGGACCCAAATGGAATGGCGGTTTCTGCTTAACACTTCTAATCAGGCCAAATTAACACATATACGGAAATTACGCCCTAGCGTAGGGCCCACACTCTTGTCTTCCTCCTCCCGAAGTCTTTGGTGAAATATTGCTTCTGCTTTAATGGGTGTTATATGACGTTTAAGTAATTTTTGCTATACTTAGCTTTTAATTATTTTCATAATATTTGTGATAATGAAACACGACATAAATACTTGGTAAAAATGCAAACATACTGTCAAATTATATTATTGAAGAAGTAAAGTACTCAATTAAAATATAATTATTGTCATTTAAAACTCCGGAGATTAAAGGCAAACTCCGAATCTCTCAAACAGTTATATGTAAATTGAAAAATGAAATATCCTTTTTATAAAAAATGGAACTGCTCGTGATTATTTATAGCTGGTGGATTCTCAGTTGTACTATGAAGCCTGTCAGGAGGATTGCTGTTCCCAGTCTAACAGCCAGAACTGTGAATGTACTAGCATGGCTGAATATTTCAGAGAATGTTTCCGGCTAGGTGGCGTGATAAATGAAGCCTGGCGGACAAGCAACAGTTGTCGTAAGTAAAGAGCGTAAACAATGATTTATACTACGGTTAGTTACATATTCTACATCGATTGGCCCCCTTTTTCTTACAGTATTGAAGTTTTTAACTTTAATCATTAATATCCTGAAATCTGCGTGGCGTAGACTCCAAACATACAAAAACTGGAAATAGTTTTCTTTCACTTTAGCCCATTCTTGGAGGACTATGTTCTACAAATGGTCTTTTAGAAGTCGGCAGAGGATAGTTATGGTAAATTCGACTTATAAGGTATTCTAAAAGATTCTCAGTCCGACCGAGATACGGCGACTGTGCTCCGTGACCAAAAAAGGTGAATGAAGTCGCTGCCCTGCTCTTTAAAAAGTTTTGATGTTACCAGTATGATGGATTTTTTTTATCACCTAGGAAGATATCCTGTCCATATGAATGAAAATGGTTAGCAACAAATTCAGGTACATTCTGGATGTTATTCACTTTTTTAAAAGAACCGAAGGCCTCGCCATCTCATACGAGAGCGTTCCCCCACACAATTACACCATTTCTGGCATCTTGCACTATCGGACTAATAGAAGCACGTTGAAGTTCCTCCCGTGATTTTCTCCATACTTTAACTTTACCTACAGTATAGAAAGACATAAAGACAACTCACCAGACGATACTGAATGCTTCTGGTCGTTCTTGTCAACTGAAATCGTGCTTTCCTTTTTTTTATCTGAGCTAAGTGGATTTTTGGGACGGTTGCCAGTTGTATTATGGCAGTTTTTGTAACGTATTTTGCTTGGTAGGATTGGAGATTAGTCAAATCTTGACAACAGTTGAAGGTACCAGTCAACTGATTGTCTCATCTTACAAATCTGTCAGATCGTCTTTTCTCAGCAGCAGTTGACGGCCATAGATTTTCTTAATGACAGATGCATTTCTTTCGATTTCTATTCTCATTAGGTTCTAATGGCAAATGGTCTCGAACAGTTGGCCACAAACACGATTATTGAAAACGATGCTTCTATGCGGTCACACAATATCCCGTTTTTTGGAAGTCCTTATTCTCACCCATTGTCTTCCAAGGCAACTATGGCATTACTCATCTCCACGTTTCTAGGACTCGAACAGTCACTTGACAGATCAGTCTATTTCGTACATACAAGTAAGAGTGTACAGAGGAGTAATATTAAAGTGGCCAGTCGTTGTATATTTTTAATGTAATCAATTACAATATTTACTCGTCACAACTCTGATTTTTTTATGTTGAAATTATATTGTATAATGACACAAAACAATGTGCCGATAAGTCAAGTTTTTTTCCCCTTCAGCTATTCTATGTGAGAATGGAAAAGAGTACCAACAATGTGGTTCGGCATGTGAACGAACCTGTCAAAATCCTGAACCCCCTTGCTCCCAAGATTGGTGTGTCGATGGCTGTCACTGCCCAAGAGGGAAAGTACTTAATAAAGGACGATGCATTTCTCAAGAAGAATGTCCTTGTGATCACCAGGGTAGAGAATATGCTAGTGGAGAAGAGATGCAACAGGACTGCAATACATGGTACGGAAAGTTTAAAAAATAGTTACTATTTGATTAGATAAATCTCCCGATATTCCTGATAAGTTAACCTGAATTAAATACTTTTTTTGTAAATGTGCATTTCTGTGGTCATTTCTGCAACAATTTCAGTACCATTGTAAATTAACCAGAGTTAAATGCTCTAGAATTAAAATACATATTGTTTTTTTTGTTTTTTTTTATAAATATGCATTTCTGTGGTCATTTCTGCAACAATTTCAGTACTATTACCTATATTTAAGAAACTTTTAGGGAATGCTTTTTTGCGAATATTCTTTGTCTGTAAAACAAACTAATACTCAAAAGTTTTATTTGTTTCACAGTTTATGTCAGGGTGGTCAATGGATATGTACAAAAGAAATTTGTCCTGCGTTATGTTCTGTAACTGGTGATGCTCATTATACTACTTTCGATGGTAAACGCTATGATTTTAAAGGAACCTGCTCCTACTACCTAGTTTACAATGACAACTTTACTGTTGAAGAAGACAACTTAGCCTGCACAGGAGACTTGACTGCTCATGGCTTCCGAAGACAAAACGGAAACTTCTTCTCTTGCATGAAATCTGTAAACATACGCTCCCCGGAGGGCACTGTTGTAAAGCTAAAACAAAACTTAGAGGTAAGGCTAGGAATTTTTCCTCTGCATATATATTTTAGCAGCATTATAGGGTAGTAGATGGTGCCATCTAATGGTAATTTACATAAAGCTGTTAATACGTGCAAAAAACAATTTTGGAAAATGGAAATGGAAGTTCAATAACTACAAGAACTCCTATTTGGCAGTCAAAATACTGTAACATCACACAGTATATATTTTGTAAACTTTTTTAATTACAATGCATTATTTTATATAAGCTTACCTATACGCGCACACATATATAGCAGTCATTCGAGAGAGAAAGAGAAAAAAAAACATAATATATCTGTGACAGTTTGTTTAATTTAACCCTTTAAAGGATTAAAAACGCGACACAACTAATTAAACAATAATTCCATTATTTCGTTATTATACCTAAAATAGTGTTAAACTACTGTGAAAAGGCAAACTTAACCACCCCCACTGTTAGCTAAACCAGGCATCTGATTAATTGAAGTGTAAATGACTGGTAATTCAGATCGTGCTATATATATATATTTATAGTAATCGTACACAGACTTGTCTTAATTGACACTTTTAAGTAAGCGACAGGGTTTTAGTATTCCATATGTATTCACGAACTATGGTTAGACCTAAAAAAAGACATTTAGATGTTTCATTAGTTGTTGAAGAACAATCAGAGGAACCTACCAACTACATCATACTGTGTTGGACTAGTTACAAAGGTCTCAAAGTGTCGTTAGCAAAATGTGGAACTGCATTCAACTCCTAAGAACTTATAAGCGTAACTAAATAAAAATGTATAACAATATCTCAACCACATTATATTTTATATATTCAACGCCGAGGAGACCTATCGCCCAATAAGAGGGCTCATCAGGCCGTCTGAGATATGATAGATACAACAATGGTTGAGACGCTTTTAATTATATCAAACTGTATGAACAAAAATTGTTATGGTGTGAATTAGATTACGTTGTTGAAGTGTAATTTTTATATTTTGAATGGATAAGGATTGATAACACAATGTTATTTATATATTTTAACAAACATATTTATCAATATTATAGTTATTTTTACTTGAATTGGCTTTAATCATCATTCAGAAAAACTGGCGAACCAGCATCCCAGTATTATTTTTCACGAAGCGAGTCAATTAATAGTACAATCACTCGGACACCTGTCCAAACAGTTTAGAACTGTCAATTCTGCCTAATTACAATCGTATGGTACCTACTCCGAGATTGAATCAAATATTCGCAGCCGTAACTCATATCAAGGCACGAAACAACTTCCCTGTAATGGTAACAATATCAAATCCATTAGAGCAACAACATGCAAAGCAATGTTCTTGTTATAGACCAGTTCTGCTTCATCATGCAGCCAGAAAAGAGGTGTATACTACTTTGGAGAGAATCTAAAACTAGTTCCAAGTCCATTTTTATACAGAAAGACTATGCATATAGCTGGGTGTGACTGAAGCATGGTTTTAGAAGAAACAAGCATTGATGGATACATTGACTTCTACATAATGGTACCATTAATGTCACACATTATAGGACCTATATCTTTTGACCCTTTTGACGCACCTGGCTCTGACTTCAGTCTAATCAATGATGACGTCCGCCACACCGTGCTATACTTGTCAGCAAGTTTCTGGAAAAAGGGGAATTGGACAACTGGAGTGGTCTGCATACACACTGGACTTCAGTTCTATCAGTCGTGTATGAAATATTCTTAGGAGATACGTCTCGTCTCGTCAAGTGATTCCAGACAGAAATGATGTTCTGTAATCAGCTTGTTCTAAGAAATGGTCAAGGGTATCTTAGAACCTTAACGACACCCTGATATTGATCATGAAACATTGATACCAGCTTGTCTTTTTTGTTAGTAAAAACTATACTCTATATCGAAGTGAAACGTCGTGATATGTAAAAATATCAAACTATCGTTGCAACACATTAATTCAAGTACACATTCTGACTCATCATCACTTATTTGCATAAAAAATGAACTGAGAAGATGATTGACATTATTCTATGACAATGGGTTTGATCCACGATAGTTGAAATATTATGAACTGTAATTATATTTTAATTGTTTTGTGTGGCGTATATTATTTGGAATGTTATAGTTATTCAAATTTCAGCTAAGTTCAGCCTAACAAACAGTTTGTCCACGTTTTAAAGAATATTTACAGTGTTTCTCCTAAGAATAAACGTTGGTATTTCAGTAAGATAAGAAAGAGTTATTTCTATATATTTAGGTTATAGTAAATGGAGAAGACATCAATTTCTTACCGCTCTCTGCCCCTGGTATCTTTGTAACTCGTATCTCTGGTCAGTATATCCAGGTAAGTATTTTTTTTCTCGCTTTTTTGAGAGAAAAGTCAATACAAAAAATTTTATGATTGGCAGAATAAATAGTTTTATGACTTAATTATGCGTACCGTAGTAATGTTTGATGAAAACACACAGTTGTTGATGTTTTAATCCATTATTAATTTATTAAATCTTTAAAGGTCTATGTGTATTATAATAATAACACAATACTCTCTCATTGAGGGAGAGATGACATAAATGATGTTGTCTTAGATCTATTTCGCCAAAATATGTTTTCACCTTATTATTTTATCACGCTAAAAATTTGGTTTCGATACCTGTTGTGGCTACAGCACAGATAGCCATTGTGCAACTTTGTGTTTATTAATAAACAAACAACAAAAGACAATATCTATATGTATGTTTGAATTTGTGCTATTAATAATCCTACATTTAGATTTTAACATTTTTGTTAGATTTACAGAAAACACTGTACCAATATTTTTCTCTTTTCGAAAACGGTTAAATACATTTTCTGAAAAAGCGTCATATTATTTTCCGAGGAAAAATTTTCGGTCAAAAAATTCCATGTAGGTTTAGCATAATGCCTTGGAAGGTCAGTTCAAAAGGTAACTTTGATGATTGTGTAAAACACAAAGACTCCTGGATTAATGTTGAGAGAGATATACGTCTTTTTTTTTAATAATGCTGTGTTCTACTATATTAGAATCATCTTCTCAACGACTCCCCATTACAAACTTTATTTGTCCTTCTGTCAGGCGTGGCCTAGTGGTTATATATCCCGGTCTGTGAATCCAAAGGTTCAGGGTTCACAGCTCATTTCCTCTAAAACGTGCTACGCTCCTTGGGGTCCTGGGTGCACTATAAAAATGACGGTTAAGTCTCACTATTCGGTAGGAAAAGTGTTGGTGGTGAGTGCTTTGGGCTAGCTACCTTCTCCCTAGTCTATCGTTTCAAAATTAGGGACAACTATGTGCAGATAACCTCTCTGTCGAGTTTTTCGTGAAAATTTTGAATCAAACAAACAATTAAAATGTTATGTAATTTGCAAAATTAATCATTTGTTTACGCCTATAAATATCGCTCGTTGATATCTTATAGAAATAGAAATATTAAGACACATTTGCAGTGGTCAATTACAATCACTGATATTTTTCTCCGTTTTTTTTATTTACTCGCCAAACACGTGCTGAAATTATAAAATTGTTATGTAACTAGGTATTTTTATTTGAAAGCTAAGTACGGAGAGAATTATGATCAAATAAAATTAAATATGTATATACATGTAAAAGATGTGGGAAAATTGATTTGTTTTTTTTAGGCTAAGCTTTCTAATGGACTTTCCGTATATTGGGATGGGAAACGACGAATTTATATTGAAGCTCCCTCTGCACTTTATGGCCGAACTAAAGGGTTTTGTGGTACTTTCAACCGTAATCAAGCTGACGACTTTTTAACACGAGAGGGAGATAAAGAAACAAATCCTGTCGACTTTGGGAACAAGTGGAAGGTGAAAGAAAAATGCCCGGATGCGTTTCTTGGAGACGAAACAACGTCCCCTTGTGATGGAAATCAAGAGAGGCAAGCGATTGGAGAAACTCTGTGTAATCAGATGATGGAAAGCATTTTTAAATGTTAGTAAATTTTTCTATCATTAATACGACCAGATAATGAAAAGTGGCTTAGCAGGTTCTTAAGTTTTTTCTAAGAGTAATTTTCTGAAACTTTATTATATCAATTTATATTCCATAAACCCCTTAACAAAACAGAAGATTATAATTACATAAGAACTTGTCATATAACTTCAAATAACGAACATAGACGAAGCAATGATGTCACAATTGTGAATCCGGGATGTTTAAATTTCAGCAACACAATTATATGTTAATTCCCAGTCACTTGAAAATATAAAAGTGGTTTATTACTTCATATTTTACATGCTCTGATTAAAATATTAAAGAGGTTTATTACTTCATATTTTACATGCTCTGATTAAAATATTAAAGTGATTTGTTACTTCATCTTTTACATGTTTTCATTAAAATATTAAAGTGGTTTATTACTTCATCTTTTACATGTTCTTATTAAAATATTAAAAGTGGTTTATTACTTCATCATTTTACATGTTCTCATTAAAATATTAAAGTGGTTTATTACTTCATTTTTACATGATTTTATTAAAATATTAAAGTGATTTGTTACTTCATCTTTTACATGTTCTTATTAAAATATTAAAGTGGTTTATTACTTCATCTTTTACATGTTCTTGTTAAAATATTAAAGTGGTTTGTTACTTTATCGTTTTACATATTAATCTTAATCTATTGTTTTACTTTCCAAACAGCCTGTCACCAGCATGTCGCTGTTGCTCCATATTATGAAATGTGTTTGTATGATGTCTGTGCTTGTGAAGAAGGACTAGAAAGCTGCGCATGCTCAGCTATAGCACATTACGCCGAAGCATGCAGCCGACAAAAAATACTCGTGAACTGGAGACCTCACATGCCAGAGTGTGGTATGTAATTAAGACTATATTTTAAATGCGTTTCACACTTCTGTTTATATGATGACTCTACAGTTGTATCTTATAAAACGATGTCTATGCTTAATCAAATGTTGGTTATCAAATATCGAACACTGAGAAGTAAGCTTAGGAGATGGATTTTTTTTTTCTCCATCCCAAGAGAGTTTATTTTGCAAGAAGTAAACTGGGTATTTACTTGTGATCCCTCCTGAGAGGAATGGATAGATGTCCTTCACACAGTCCCCACATAGAACTGGATTAACAATGACATGAGCGTAACAAAGTTCAATATCTAGTTTTCCAAAAAAAAAGTATTTCAAATGTTTTCATGTGATCCTGTTTCACGTTCCATTTCTGTTATTTTCGAACTTAACTACAATGATTATAGAACTCATTTCTTGCCGCGGCTCATACAACGGGTCCGAGTTATTAGTTTTTTGTTGTTGTTGTTTTCAAGTACAAGTTTTTATCTCATAGATCTGTCATTTCTTGACCGATTTGAGATCTAATTACAGTTTTGGATTCAGGAGGTCAAACCCTTTCGAGTGATGTATTTGATTATGCACAAGGGCTCACAGAGTGATTTATTCTAATCCTGCCTAAAAAGAATTTCAATTTTAGGGTAGGCTGGTAAAGATCTTGACGAGTAATATAATAGAATCGGGTATACGCGCGCCCCACGCTTGGTATTTCTGGCGCACAAAAATATAGCTGATAAAAAGGGAAACACAGGTCTCATAGATTAATTTACTCTAATCTTACCTAAAAGAATTTCAAGTGCCGCGGCTATTGAGAATTCCCTTCTTTTTTAGTATTATATGTTGTATGTAAGTATAACTGATCTACAGTTTCTTTCGTTTTAGATTTATGAAACTCGGTTTTTACGTAGCCAATCTTTAAAGATCAGAATTTTAGACCAACAGTTTCTTGTTTTAGAGCAAAGTCACATTGGGTTATCTACTGTGTCTATTGCGGGGAAACAACCCCCGGGATTTAACGTTGTAAATCCGTAAACTTACCGCTGTCCCACCGGGGGACCTAGACAAACAATAAACAAATTGTTTTATTCTAAATACAAGTATACTATGGCTGTATTTCCTTGTACGAATGTTATTTTAAACCTAACAGACAAGTTTATATTTTCAAAGATATACTTTACTTTAACAAATCATTATAACTTTAACATTATTCATGGTTCCAAAACAAATATCGTTTTGAGCAACAACTTTTTCATGGCGTATCCTGAAACATACGCTTATACAAATTTTATTTTAAATACTTGTATCTAGATATCTTTTTTTTTTAAACCCCACTCACTGAAACGTACTTCAAATATTTTATAATTCCATGGCAGGGTCCTACGATTTCCATGGCAAGCATTTTCTTTTAACACATGCAGCACCAAAATCATCCTGTTGAGCTGGAAACGTAACTTTAAGACATTAAATACACCAAACGTTTTATTATAAAAAACATTGTCAACTTTATTAAAATCAAACTTACTGATCAGTACATTATGAATATCCCACCGGCAAGTTCACGAACTTACAACGCTAGAATCCGGAGATCGATTCCCCACAATGGACACAGCATATAGCCCAATGTGGTTTTGCTCTAAAACAACCAACCAGGATAAACTTGCGTCCCTAATGTAACGAAGCGTATGACGTGCAATGTTGAAATCTTTAACTGTATTTTCATTGCTGAACGCTTTAGAGGGGGATAGACTTATAAACATATTTGACAAATTAAGCTGTTATCAGACCAAATAAAATACTCACGAAGAAATTATTTTTTTATATTCTGAGAAAACAACCAAAATAAAACAAGTACTAAAAAATTGATTTGATAACATTGTGTGGTGTATTTTATTAACTCTGCAAAATAAGTGGGATAATTTTAATTTCACTAGGAGATCATAAGAAGTACATTTTAATACTTTATTTAAATCATTGTTTTATATTCCTCCTTTACACTTTAGCAAGAACCAGAATATTATAATACAAGAGGACTTATTTATAACTCGTATATGTCGATAATATTCAACGCTTATGTCGTGCAGGGGTCCACTGTACGGGAGGGCAGATTTATCAACCGTGTGGACGAAGTTGTGAATACACCTGCTCTCAGATAGCCATCCAGACAGAGTGTACTGACCGCTGTGTGGAGGGCTGTGCCTGTCCACAAGGGATGACTTTAGATGCTAACGGTATTTGTACGTCTCTATCTTCTTGTCCATGTGTCCACAATGGTAGAGAATACACACCTGGATTCCAACAGCTGAGGGGTGGACGGATGTGGTAGGTTGATAGCAGGAAGACTTTCAAGTTTCTGGCTACTAAATACAGAGAGAGAAAATTATTTATACTGATTTAAAATGGATAGAGTATACTTCGTGTTAATAAAACGCGTTAAACATCTAAGTAGACGAGATTTATTATTAAAATCGGATGAAGAAGAACTCATGCAATCCCAAGTTCCTTACCAAAGCATTTTAGTTTAACATTTTTGAGATGTTAGTCCATCAGAATTTTATCCAACTAAATCTTTTGTTAGTTCGAAACATGATCGTTTACTCTAAACTTCCGGTAGTTATAGGCTTATCCTGAGTAGATACAAATAGGTTATTGTTGTAGACGTGATCATTTCCTTTCCTTTCTAGTGGTTCCGGATACGATAATTTTCTTTATCCTTCTGATAATTCAAGACATGATAATTTACTATATCTTTCTTTCTTTTGTTTTTGTTCCAGACCTCATAATTTCCTGTATTCTTCTGGCAGTTCCAGACTGATCATATCCTTTATTCTTTATTCTTCTGGTAGTTTGGACATGGTACTTTACTGTACTCTTCTTGTAATTCTAGACATAATAATGTTTTTTTTTTAACCTCCAATTAGTTCTAGATTTGATCATTTACTTATCCTTTCTTCAAACATTATAATTTACTTTATCTTCCATTGTAGTTCTTGGTATTAACTGTAAATTTCATTGTTTGTCCAACTTCGAAGTAGACTGAAGAGAAAATATTCTCAGGTTCTCCTAATAGCTGAAATTTTGTAATTAAACTAAAAACTGCTTAATAAAGATTAGAGCAAAAACAAATTCATATCAGTCGGTCTTTAATGTGAATAAGATTTTAAACGATAGATAGAGCGAATTTCAGTAAATTTCGTCGATTTTAAAATGACACAATCTGAGAACCTGCTTTAAACAACATAATCTCTTTCAACAGCTTTTGGTTGAGTCAAGATGTCAAAAGAGATTTTGTGTTGTGCATGGCTGAATTTATAAGAAGAAGAAAAAATACTAAGATTTCATAGGAAAAGACTTATGACCAATTAAGTCCTATTGTTAATAGAGTACTTTTTCAGGTTTCATACTAAGTATTAATATACTTTATAAGCAATGTTATACAGGGCTACAAAGAGCCGAGACGGGCCCCACGGTAAAACTGAAGTGTGGGCCCCGGAGTAAGTACTTCGGCGACTCCTTCTCGGCGGTCCTAATGTTGTATAATAGTATCTGAACAGAGGCTCTTTTATCAGCTAACTGGTACAATTCTTACTATGACACCGATATTCATTGGTATCACCTGGTACCACTTATACCCATACCGTGTCGCGGTGCTAAGATATTTTACTTTACTTTACTGTGTGTGTCTCATGCGAACTGCGTTTTACCCTTTCGAAAATGTCACATTTACGTCAAGGTCCTCAGGGCCCACTAATCCGCCTCCGACACCTTAATTCTCTCCTGGATCTGCCACTGAGTATAGTCCCTCTCGAATCCTTTTCCTGTGTGTGTACTTGGTTCCAGTGATTACAAACTTGGTTCAGGTTTTTACGAATTATGCCGTTGAAATCGGATTAACTGTGTCATATGGTAATTAGTTTGATCATGCACAATATTTTAGTAGCAATCTATATAGTGGTTGTATTTTCCGGTTATAATAAAGTCAAAACTCTCTCTTGTTTAGAACATGGTTCCATTAAAACAGTCTTAATGGGTGTATTAGACTTTAAGTACATAGAGCTGATACTATGAAGAAGTCCACCATTAATAGTCAGGCAACATGAGACCAAAATGGTTTCAGCAAAATATTTTTACCAACTACGTATATTTTATCTTTATTTTAGAACACACACTTATAAGTATTTCAGGCTCTGAAATCCCGTTTGACTTTAGTTTTTATAGAAATATTTATTATTTTTAAATTTTAAACAGTTCGAATATAAAGTTATATCTCGTTCTTGCTATTAATAACGTAATTACAAATTTAGAGTTCAATAATAGTTGAGAAATCTTATTTAATCTATAAAGACAGAAAACTTTGTTAATTTTACATTTATTGAGCATGTAACCTCAACTTTTCTTTAGTGAATGTGTTGGTGGACGTTGGGATTGTAGACCGGCTACACCAAATGAATTGCTATTGACACCTGCTCCACAGATTGAGCAACCATTATGTTCAGCAGCTGATCACAAACAATTTACAGACTGCCTCACAGACTGTCCAGTCACCTGCGCCAACATGCATAACCCACCAAAATGTTCTATGGCAATCTGTAAACCTGGATGCAGGTAAATTTTATGTTGACTTAAATCAATGTATCGTCTAAGAAAAAAAAAAAAGAGCGCGATTTTACAATATGAAAAAAAAATAGTAACTTTTTTTCTCGAAAACGGCATGATAAGCTAATAAAATGATGTTACAGGACAGGTAAAATTAAACATAATTACCTTGTTTAAAATATTTATTGTATGTAACTAACTAAGTAAATACATAAAAAAACTGGATAAACTCTTGCACGATTCTTTAGGTAAGTGAAACGTTGGATCATATGCTTGTGAAATTATACACAACAACTGTACATTCTAAAACGTGTGTAAATTACACGACAAATTTCATGACCTATCCAAGGGGAGGCCTTGGCATGGCCTGGTGGTTATGGCGTTCGACACGTAATGTGAGGGTCATGGGTTCGAATTCTCATTACCGAATATGCTCATCCTTTCAGCCATAGGGGCATTATAATGTGACGATCAATCTCATTATTTGTTGGTTTTAAAAAAAAAGTAGCCCAAGAGTTTGGATGGATGATGTTGATTAGTTGATTTCTCTCTAGTATATCACTGCTAAATTAGTGACGGCTCGTGTAGCTTTGCCAAAAATTCATTACAAATTCATTTCCAAGGGTTTACGTCTAATTTTTAAAATGTGGTTAAAGAAATTCAAGATTTTATACATCTTGTAAGCTTGCCTGTAGTTTCTGTTTTCCGTTCATTCAATGAAATTTACCTAAATACATTAGCTAATAACTAGGCACTAAGTGTAACATTTACATGAATATATTAGCCATTAGTATACAATTAGACACTAACTGTAAAGTTGTTTGTTTGCACAATTCTGAAGCACAGTTAAAAAATAGATGTTTTTAGTTTCCCCTAAAATCCGAAAATTTACAATTGACCTAAAATCGCTCAACATAGAGTAGAGCATAACAGGTATAACTAACGTAAAGAAAAGATCTCCACTGGAGTGGTGGAGATTTTTAGATTAAAATCCACTGGTCAATTTGCACCTGATTTGTTTTGAATTTCGCGCAAAGCTACACGAGGGTTATCTGCGCTAGCCGTCCCTAATTTAGCAGTGTAAGACTAGAGGGAAGGCAACTAGTTATCACTACCCAACGCCAATGCTTGGGCTACTCTTTTACCAACGAATAGTGGGATTGACCGTCACATTATAACGCCCCCAGCGCTGAAAGGGCGAACATGTTTGGTGGGACGGGGATTTGAACCCACGACCCTCAGATTGCAATTTGCACCTGAAATTTTGCATATTACACCTCATGGAAAATGAAGTTTTTTTGTTAATGTGTTTTTATGTTTCGGAACCACGTGTCAGATGCAGCGTTGGTGGTCATAAAAGTTTGGTATGGTTTGGTTTGCTTGTTGTTAAGCGCAAAGCCATTCAATAGGCTATCTGTGTTCTGCTAACCACAAGTATTGAAACCCGAATTTTAGCGTCTTAACCTTGCAGACTTACCGCTGAGCCACTCACTTTCTTTACCAAACTTGTGATTAATGAGCACTCACGCAAAGATTTATTCATTCGTTTTTAATATAATTTGCTTTAAGTCGCAATCCTAATTAATAGTAAACTGATAAACAACGATTAATATACATAATGAAGCGATTTTATTTTGGGGAAAATACTATATGCTTTGACAGAACATTGGTCTGACTTCCTCAGGTCAATGTTCCTTTAAAACATACAATATGTTCCCAAAATAAAACCATTTTATTATGTTTATAAATCGTTGTTTCGTAATTTACTATTATATTAGCACAATGTGATTCCATACACAAGTACGCAATCCTAGTTGTAAGCCAATACTTCGCTCAGTAAACCACACTTTTGTTTGTGTTTACCAAACTCGCCTGAAAGAGAAAAACTTTACTGTTACTCTCCGATGGCTTAGTCGTAATTCTGTTGGCTTATAACGCTAGGAATCGGGTTTCGATACTCGCGGTGGGTAGATAGCCTACTGTGTGAGTTTGTTTCTAACAGCAAACTAGCGAATCAGCTACTAGTGAGGCTATATATCGGTGATTTGTGTGAAGTTATGTCACATTAACACTGACAATAATATTTAACAATTATTTTTTTCCGGTAAGAAGCATCATCGTATTTTTATGTAGTAAAGTAAATTTATAACAGAACAAATGTCCATTCTCTTTTGGTTTGTTTTGAGTCCTCTTTTGAAAAGATGAATAACAACTAAAACTTAATATCTAATATTAGTTTTATTAACTAACTATTCGTTATGGATGTTTCGTATAAAGACATCTTGATCAATAGAATCGTAAGCAATATAAATGTGGTTATCTGTTCCATACACTAGATGTGATGATGGATACGTTCTAGACTCCAAAAGTGGAATCTGCTTGCGTGCAGAACAATGTCCATGCCATCATGGTGGACGTAGCTACGGCAACGGGGATATAGTAAAGGTGGATTGTAATACATGGTAGGTTCTTGTGTTGGGTAGGCCTTTGAAAAAAACAACAACAATAAAGCATTATGATTATTCATACCTATAGTTACTTCTGAATAAGATGAGAAACGTATAAATTCTTTATTATAAGAACTTAAACTTTTCCAAAAGCATAATTTTTGAAAAAGGATGTTGCTATTATTAAATAAACTTAAATTAGTTTAATTTAATTAAACGTTATGATGGTTTCATGAAAACAAAAATGGTCTGACTATTAAACGGTGAAATTTGAAAATGTGTTCCAAGGTTTATCTTTACTGAGTTTTTTTATTATTGTAACAAAGTTAGAAGTTGGTGACTGTATATTTTTTAAGTTACAGAAAATAGAAATTTAAAAACATTCTGAGAGTTAGTTAGCAAATGAGTAATAACTCTTGTTTCGTTGTTTTAGTTTCTTTCTTTAAACACCGATCTTTCTCTGTAGCTTTTAAACACAGAATTGTGAAATTAAAGTTAATGCTAAAATGTAAAGATATGTAGAAAAAATATGTTATTCTTTTGATGTAATTTAACATACTACATCCTGAAAGAATGTTACTTCAGAACGTTTCGGAACGTGTCAGTTTTTGGTTCCTTGTTTTTTAATAAAAAAGTAATATTGTTGTTCTCAAACAGTAAATAACATATTTAGCTTATAGCTCAAAAGTATATTCTTTGTTTTGATAGTGAATGAAATATTATATCTTGCAAACAAAAAACAAAAAAAAACGGCAGGTCTAAAATAAGTAAAGTACATTTGAGAGTTGTTATTTTTGTAGGAAATATTAACTGTATCATTTAGAAACTAAGTATTGAAAATTATCATTAGTGTTGTTGCGATTATTTGTCACATTTTCTCACCTTAAAATAATTCATCTGTTGTGTCACACTTTCTCACCATAAAATAATCCATCCGTTGTGTCACACTTTCTCATCTTAAGATAATTCATCCGTTATGTCACACTTTCTCACCTTAAAATAATTCATCCGTTGTGTCACACTTTCTCATCTTAAGATAATTCATCCGTTATGTCACACTTTCTCACCTTAAAATAATTCATCCGTTGTGTCACACTTTCTCATCTTAAGATAATTCATCCCTTATGTCACACTTTCTCACCTTAAAATAATTCATCCGTTGTTAGATTTGACAATTTACAAGGCATTAAATTTAATGTAAAAATATTTTGTTTGTAGATATCCCTCCTTGTGTCTAATTTTTATTCTTAATAACAACCAGACTGGTAGATTATATGAAAATACAAAACAACTCGTAAACTGTCAGTTACACCTTTTATTAAATTTGTTGTGATAAAGCCTCCAACAGCTGAAGATGACTTTACTAAACTAAAGGCCATCCTTTCTCACATTTATTATTGTCAAGCATCTGTGAGGCTGGAACCTGGAAATGTGAAGACAACGAATGTAAAGGCGTCTGTACCGCGTGGGGAGATTCTCATTACAGGACTTTTGATGACAAAATCTACGACTTCCACGGCGATTGCGACTACGTTCTTGCCAAGGCTAGAATAGACGGGTCAGAATCTTTTTCTGTTGTTGTACAAAACGTTCCTTGCGGTACTTTGGGCGTTACCTGTAGCAAAGGCATTGTATTTGCAGTTGGTATGTATACATAGTAGGAAAGTTTATTTATACATATACGTAGTTTTGAAATTAATATAGTATGCATCTGTAAAAATCATGTTCCTTGGTACTTTTTTGTTAAACAATATTTGAATGATTCTAAAAAAAATAATAAAAAATAGAGTTGTACATTTCTGTCTAGTTATTTCTCTTCGACCTATCAATCACCCTAATTGCAACACAAATAAAAATTAATTAAGTACAGTCACAGTTTTTACTACACCTATAACCAAGTATAATTCACAAAAATCAATCTGTCATTTATATCTTTAATATAAGTAGATTATTTATTTCAAAAGTATCATCCATAGAGTCTCAAGTAATTAATCAATAGCTTCCGAAAGCATAATAAAATTTTTAAAATTCGTTGTGAAAATTTATTCCAATATCATTTTTACCTAAAGCTATGCATTATTATTATAATTAGTAACTTTTGCTTACTGTTTCCTCTCCTGGTAAGTGTACGTTTAAGATAATGAATAATACTCACAAAATAATTTAGTCTTTTTTTCAAGAAATAGTAATTTTGTTTCGCATTATTTTTGTAGGGGAGGAAAGCGTCACGTTATCGCACGATCAGCGAGTTCCAGTATTACCACCAGTTTCAAAGTTTGAGATCCGAGAAATAGGACTATTTGTTTACGTCAAAAGTGACGTAGGAATATCGGTACTGTGGGACAAGGGCACTCGAGTTTATATTCGAGCTGATCCTGTGTGGAAAGGTAAGGTAAGTGAACCTTTACCTGATACCTGTGTAGCAAGATTCTATATCAATTCTGAATGATAAAGTCGGACAGTCCAATATGTGCCACACGAGGCCTAGTGATAGCATGCCGGAGTGCGAATCCGAGGGTCCCTCCTTTGGGTTCATTTCTCACAATATTGTTCTTCTCGTTTTAGGGCGGTCGATGAGTTATAAAAATAACGGTCAAATCCCACTATTCGATTAGAATAGCTCAAGGGTTGGTAGTGGGTGCTGTTGAGTAAATGCCTCCCCTTTAATCTACCAGTTCAAAATTAGGGATGGCTAAGGCAGAAACCTCTTGTGTAGTTTTGCGCGAATATCTGAAAAAACAGTCCAATGAAATTCAACGTTTACTATTCGATATCGCGAAGTAATCTTGACAGTTAGGTTAATTTACTATTTTACTGTTCAACCAGTCTACAAAGCTACCTACTGTTTTAGATATAATTAGTACCAAATATCTAAATTATTCTTTGGCTGTATGAGACATGGATGCGTGAACTTGAGGTTTATTTAAAATATTTCTGTTTTATTGAACATATTGAACAAGTTTTTGTTGTTGTTTTTTACACGCAATCTGAGGGTCGCAGGTTCGAATCTCCGTCACCGAACATGTTCGTCGTTCCAGTCGTGGGGACGTTATAATATGTGACGGCCAATCCCAATATTCGTTGGTAAAAGAATAGCCCGAGAGTTTTCGGTGGGGGGTGATGACTAGCTGCCTTCCCTCTAGTCTTACACTGCTAAATTAGGTACGGCTAGCACAGGCAGCCCAGCCCTCGTGTAACTTTGCGCGAAATTCAAAACAAACCATCCCAATTTTATTTTTTAAACATATTAACGTGTACGATTACATATTACAATCGCATTATTAAGAGAAACATTAATAATTAAAACAATCTCATAATCGAGAAACATTTTGTACGCATAAGTGAAATTTTCTAACGTTTCAACACAATCATAATTCTTTGTTCAAGTAGTTTTTATATTATCAATTATCGTAGAAGACTGAATAGCTAAAAACTAGATACAAAGTACTGATCTGAAAGGATTAAGTTGCTGCGAAAATATTTGCTAGTTCAACATGAAATACTCTATCCATAGTTTATGAGCCCAAAATACAACCACGTGTATGGTTCAGACATTAATTATCAACATTTTGGCTGTTTTTTTATCTCTATTTTTAGCTTAAAGGTTTATGTGGAGACTTTAATGACGATGCTAGTGATGACTTTAAGTTGCCCTCTGGTGGTGTCCCAGTGGCTAATCCAGTAGAATTTGGAGACAGTTGGAAAGTTTTCGAGTATTGTCCTAAATCGAAGCAACCCGAAGATTCATGCATACGACGACCTCAACGAAGAAACTGGGCTTTAAAGAAGTGTGGAATATTGAAATCGCCAATATTTCAACCCTGCCATAGTAAAGTGCCCCTGGAGCCCTATTATCGCAGGTACGAAATTAAACGGCGTTGTCAGTATCGGAACTAATAAAATAATGTAAAGAGGAGATAACGTTTAATAAATTTATAGTGAACTTACTCACAAGTTATAAACGTTATAAGTTTATGTCACAGTACTGTAAAAATATCCTTGCGTTAATGCTGTTGTAACAGTTTCTGCTATTGGGTGGGTTTTTTTCGGGTTATACAACAAATAGAATATAAAACGTTTTATTTCTTTAAGTACAAGTAAAACCATCATTAATGTTGACTGAGAAGCCTAAGTTAACAATAAACGCTATTGTATAAAAATTCACTTGCGTTTGTACAGCATCTTCGTGTGCCTCTATTCCACCGTTTAAGCACAAACTCAGTATTCACAAAACTGAACTTACAGGCTAACACGAACTGACGTAAATAACCAGAAACTTAACTCCATTAAGATGCTGTTGTTTCTCACCAATGCGTGATTTAGAAACGTAATACTACAAAGATTTTGAACAGAGCGTTTAAAAACATAAAATACTATTCAATGAATTAAAAACAAGTATAAAGTTTCCTATTTAGTAATCAATCTTAAAACTAGTAATTTAACTTAATTATTTTCAGGTGTGTCTTCGATACATGCGCGTGCGATACTGGGGGAGACTGTGAGTGCATGTGCACATCTATTGCAGCCTACGCCCACGAGTGCACCTTCCAAGGTGTTATGGTGCTCTGGCGGTCACAGGAGCTGTGTCGTAAGTACAGGGTCGTTTTTGTTTTTAAAAAAGAGATAATCCAATGAATCTTTGCATTTCTTCACAGATTTAGCAGTGGTTAATCTGATTCACTACTTCATTTATTGTGCTATAACCACAAAACAAGTCTTAATTTCCCATACAAGTGTTTGGTATTCGCTGTTGGTTCATTAGATATCAGATGAGCATCCTAGATATTTCATACTTCCATGGAGTGCACTCGAGTCTTGCAAGCAAGCATTTAGTATATGAAACATATAAAGAATTAAAAGTATATTTCTGAATCTCCAGCGATCCTATCGAATAAATTCAATTTTGTACAGGATTGGTGTACTGTGACGTAATTTGTTCAAAACCTTATCGTTGTACAAACTCAGGTATTGCAAAAACAGATTCTATTAGACTACACAAATTGCTAGAATGAAAATACAGATTTAAAAATTTAGATTTACTAACCATAAACTACTAGTTACAATGATTTTTAATTATAATTAAAGTAGAGAATACATGGTGAAGCTGTTTTATTAAAAATAAATTTGGGGACCATAATTTAATCTCATTTGTTCCTTCTTTAAGTTCGGTAGCGATGATACATTGTTTCCAAGTGTCTAAGGTAGCCATATTCAGTATAATATTTGTATCCATAATTTTTCGATGATTTTATACCGGTACCTTAAAGATTCATTAAAAACTCTGCATAGGTATTTATACAATGTGAAACATGAGTACTCGGATGGAAGAAAACGACAAACATCATGACCAATTGTATCTGGCAATATTAATAGGTCTTGCCATTCAAAGTAGATGGACTGCAGAAGATGTTACGAAACGAAACTTTTTGTATATTAAGGGAAATAATGTATTTATTTAGTTTCTCGTAACTTCTCATCTAAACACCTAGAAGTATGTTCTGCTATCGATTTATTATTTGTCATAATTGTGATTATCACTTGGTCATGATATTTGTTTTGTGTTGTTTTTTTCCCTGAAAAGTGAAATATTTGAATTATTTATTTCCAAGAAAGAGATTAAACTAGAGTATTTGAATAAAACACGTACACAAATGTTTATTTTCTTTTTATAAGCTATCCAATGCGACGAAAGCTGCGATCACTATAGTGGCTGCGTGTCTGTGTGTCCCAAAAAGACGTGTGACAACAGGGAGGAGTTCAAGAACTTGTCCAGAAACTGTGCTTCTGAGCCATGCGTGGAAGGATGTGCTCCCAAACCCTGCCCTCCTGGTCAAGTTCTCAAAAGTAATCAAGAACACATATGTATTCCAGAGGCTAAATGTGAGAAACGTTCGTGTTCCGTTGGTGGACACATGTACAAAGATGGACAAAGGATCGTGGACCCATCTGTTGGAGACCAATGCCAGTCGTGGTATGATTATATCCGAATGTTATTTGTTCTAATCAATAAATATCGCATTGCTAGAAGGAAACAGTTCTTAATTGCGCGCAACGTTGTGTTGGCCGTTGTACGATACTATATTCGAGAAGAACATATTTCTGTGTTATAATCAGTAGATAGCAGCTCATCTGAAAATAAACTTTTTTACAGTCAAACAGAATTTTATACAAATTACTTCGTTCTTTAAAATCCTCCCCCCAGCAAACACATGTAATAAAATTGTTATGTCTATTGTTCTTCTTACTTACGTGTGCCGTTGACATCGTTGTTGCTGATTTATCCAATGCATGTTACAGCACTACCTATAAGAGTATCTATAGATTTCTTATTGTCTTCTACAAAAATGACAATTATACTTATCTTTATCGTTTTATCATAGCCCCCCAGTGGCACAGCGGTATGTCTGCGGATTTACAACGCCAGAATCCTGGTTTCAATACCCGTGGTGGCGAGAGCACAGATACCCCATTGTGTAGCTTTGTGCTTAATTACAAAAAAACAAACAGTCTTCCCATAAGAAAAAAAGTTGTTGTTACTTAAAATTGGAAAATGTGACTTAATACTGTTGTTAAATAAAACATGTCCGACTTAATTATTATTAAATACCTTGTGGATTTGATATTCCAGCTTGTCTTCCTATTCGGTTTGAATGTGTCGCAAAATATATAAGTTTAAAGCCGTCACATTTGTACTTCAGTGTAGTTATCATTTTAGGCTATCCATATTTACAAACTCGTATTCGCATCTTCAGGAAAATAAACCTTTATTACAATTATTTTCGCAGCTATTGCCGAGATGGAAAGGTTGAATGTAAAGGAAAGCCTTGTCTCCCAACAAGAACTCTTCCTCCAACAACAAGCACACTTACTCCAGAGATCGAGACAATGATGATCCAGGTACAACAGTGCGACTTTTCAGGATGGACACCATGGATGAACAGTATCATGCCTACTTACAAAGTACGTTTTTTTCTTAGTTTTTAAACAGAAGTATTGTTTAAAAACTGCAGTTAACTGTTGATTGGCACAACTTTAACCTGTTTATGTTACTTTATCATTTTACCCTTTCCGTCGTAAATTATATCATAAGTTAATCAACGTAATCTGCGTTATAGTTAATGATGAAGGTTAATAAGTTACCTAACCTACCTGAACCTAAACAGACCGTCTTTAATACACTTATTCTACTTATATAGTAGATGTAGTAACACTGATTTTATTACATACATTATGATGTATCTGTTCACTCAAATTCTTATCGTTGTCTTTACATTTTTACCCTTTTCAAACCGATCCAATTTTAAATTATATTTTCATACAGCGAACGTCACAGTCAAAATGTATAGCTCTAAATGCTGGCAGCATGAAACTTCAAGTTTATAGCAACAACAAAAACTCACAGACGATAGCACTATTTTCCGTATTGCTACTGTATTTCCCCAATACAGTATTCTATTTCATTCATATGTATGTATCATATTACACTTGTTATTTTTATTTATCTTGTTAGTTAGAGTAACAGCGCACCCATTGATGCCAAGTATCGCGAGAAAAACAAGCGACGCTGACTTTCAAAACTTCTCTTAATGGCGTACCCTCAAAATGGCGATTCGCGTGGCTTAATTATTATATAGAATGCGTCGGGTGGGCCAGAAAATTCACCGTTGTGGGTGTGTTTTTAATTGAACAAGGGAGGGGATAGGATGATTTTAGAATAGTAATAATCTGGGCTGTTTATTAACCTAGTTAATCACCGAAACCACCCCTACAACCGTTTTACTGTGTGTTGAAGTCAGCTATTACCAGGAAAAAAAATAACAAAAAACAACTGACCCCAGAATAAAACAGGTCCCAAAAACCGCAACTCACGGCTCTTAAAAAATTAAATCGACTTTTGAAGAAAAAAAGCCCAATTTCGCTTATTATAAGCGGACTTGGCAACACTGAGTACACGCCCCTTCTAGGGCTTTTACATACTCAAGAGAGTAAGCCTACTGTTGGTTGGAAATCATTGAACTATAGAATATTAAAATGGATAAAGGTTTATATCAATCATTTAATGCCATTGAATTTTTTAAAAATCAGTTCTCAAACACCAACTTCACATTTTAAATAACACAACCTTAAGCCATTTTACTAATTTCATAACTGTTTGGACCATTGTCTGTGCCACCAGAGTAGAATTGTAGTAAGCTCAGTTCGAGGCATATTGACTTTGTGGACTGTTGCTTAGTGAGGAATGTAGACACGAATGGTGGAAATTAAAGTTTATTTACAAAATAAAGTAGGAAAGAAAATTAAACGAAATTCGGAGTAGGAACCAACCACATAAAACGAAGCTTAAAATATTTTTCGCGTTTAAAAAACTAGGAAAAGCATTCGAATAACTACTCCTAGAAAAATAATTTTGAAACTAACAATTTAGATTAAAGATTCTGTCTGTGAGGCCTTAAGTAAACCACCTTCAACATTGAAGAGTTCAGCCCCAGTAGAAACACCTTTTCCGCCATCTTTAAAGACAGAGTTGAACCCCAGTAGGCATGTCCTTCTTCAAAAGAAAGGAAGTGAAACCATCCTTAAGCAATCAGAATTCAACTTCAGCAGGTACATCTTTCTTTACAATTTCTAAAAGTCTGAGGCCTGGCATGGCCAGGTGATTAGAGCGCTCGACTTGCAATCAACTGGTCGTGGGTTCGAGTCCCTGTCCCACCAAACATGCTCGCTCTTTCAGCCTTGGGGGCGTTACAATGTGACGGTCAATCCCACTATTCGTTGGTAAAAGAGTAGCTCAAGAGTTGGCGGGGGGGGGT